GATAGATAGATAGATAGATAGATAGATAGATAGATAGATAGATAGATAGATAATTATGTATTGGTTAAGGTGGTCATTTTTGGAGAGAGGGAAGACAGCATTACAAGGAGATACACACATCACCACCCTACTCAAAGGTTCGATGCCTGAAATTTAAATCTGGCTAGAAATTACAGACAAATAGGTGAACACTTCAGAACATCTCTGCTGTCCACTAAGGACCAAATTCATCATCTTCTTCTACTATTTATATGTAAGAGCACAAAATAATTTTAAATAAATGTTTACAGAATGAATGAGGAAGTACAAGGATAAATAAGTTGAGTTCTAAATAGCTTTTCTTCATAATAATACTGGCTGTTATCCCACAGCCCCAATGCTTCCCAGCTGTACTCTTAATAAATGGCCATGAAATAACATTACTGCCATTAGTGTCAAATGTTTAAATAAAAAGGGATGAATGATGTGTTTATTCCTCACAGCCAACTGCACCTATCATCTGTGAGTTTCTCACAATGATGGCAGTCTGCCACACAGCTGTACCAGAGAGAGAAGGGGAGAAGATCATTTATCAGGCAGCATCACCAGGTACAGAGGAAGCATCTATGGAATATTTTTTCTGGAGAAAATTGTTCTGAGATTTGGTTGTATGGATCTTAAAGTTTCAATTTAATTTTAAAATGGAATATAACCAAACTGAGGTTTTAGATTTAAAAAAAAAAAAAAATGGTTCCTAACTAGAAACTTGGCTTTTAGGATAAAATATGTGTGTATGTGTTAAAATACATTGTTTTGTATATGTGATTTTTTTTCCTATGGAAAATTGAGTAATTAAAGTGTACACAAGGGAGTAAAAGTATCTGTATCCATGTAATTGCTCCTCTTACAAATAAGAATAAAGTCTTACATAACGGGATTTACACACAGACAGGAAGGGGGAGGTTTATTTGTCTAAAGTATACTGCTGTACATGGCTTTAGAACATAGTTTTGTTAATCTGTTTAGGAAGGGGCGCGGCACCTTTTCCGTATTCGCGTAGGTGAGAAAATCTCCTCACTTCATCAATGTTTTCCATTTAGGTTCAATTTTAGACTTACTTTCAAGATAAAATGAGGTTAAGTAATTGAAACTGTTAGAAAAAAAATTACGTACTTTGTATTCTAAACTATTGGTTATGACTTGTAAGGTACATCAGATTCCTAAACCAGAGTAAGAAATGGCTGCTTTGAGAGAGAGAGAGAGAGAGAGTCTGTCTTCTTATTCCTCTCAGCAGTGACAGGACCTTACGACATAGTGAGGAAAGCAGCTAGCATAAACTAAAGCCTCTGTCCAAATCCCCTGGCACTGGAATTAACATTCAGCCTTTTAGCAGGGAAAGGATAAACTTGAAAACTTCTGGCCGCTTTTTTGGAGCGAGGCATTCTCAAGTGTTCACCTGATGAAGGGCTCTTTTCTAGCTGCCGCTTTCGGGTGTGGGTGTGAGACCCAGTGTCCAAGAACATGATGCCTAAGCTGCTCTCGGTCCCCTGGAGTCATCATATACAAAAAGAGATGGATTTCAGAGCATAGTGAAAACTGCGCTACGTCGGTATCTTTCCCTTATGTTTGCACATGTTATATTTATCTGTCCTCTATTTCTTTCACCTGTTCTGACGCAGATGAGGGAGCGCTGGTCAGAGCAGCCAAGCAGCTGAATTTTGTCTTCACAGGAAGAACCCCTGACTCAGTCATCATAGATTCAGTAAGCTACTTTCATTTTAAGAGCTTTTTAAACCTATGTGATACATTCTCGTAGCTTTGAAAACAAAGGCAGTAAGGAAAAGACTATGGTGAAACTGGTGTTTCCTCGCCAGGGCCACCACCGTCCATCCTTTTGCCTAGTTCTTCAAATACTTAAGAAAATTGTGACTGATAATATGCTTGGTAGACGATATTGATTCTTCAAAACTAGACGTGTCTACTGATATTCTCTTCTACTAAGTGGCGATTTATCTCCCTTGAGTATCTTCCCATTTGTTTCTTCTCTAGATTCCAAACATTATTAAATTTTTAGTTATGTAAATACCCAGAGGGCTGGCCGCAGTGAATAGGCCTTGTTATCTCAGCACATGGGAGGCAGGAGGATCTGGAATTCAGAACCAGCTTCGGCTACATGAGACCCTGTTTCAAAATAACTAACAACAAGAAAGTAATTATTCAGAATCTGCTTTAAGTGGGCAGTTTTAAACAGATATGTCACAGCAAGTGATATCCGAATGGCTACGTTACAGACGATGACTAGTATTCAAGGAAACGCAAAACCATAATGAAGTACTATTATGCACCCACTATGGAGGATAAAACTAAAAAATATTCATACAACCAAATGTTAGTGGATTTTTTAAGAGTTTTCTAATAAAGGAACGCATGCCTGGATGCAGCACCTGTGCTCAGCTCTCAGTCACTCGGGACGAAAGAGAATTTTGTGTCCACCAAAGACAGAATGAACATCATCAGCAGAAGATGAACATGTTGTCATCCATCTGACAAGCTAAACAATGGAAAAGAATGAATTCTTGATTCTTTAGCAGTGCAGATGAAGCACAGAAACCTCGTGTTGAGGAGGACCACAAAGGAAAGCATCCTTCGTCCGTCTGTATGCCACTGGAAATTTTGCAGAAGTGATTTATAAGGATAGAATTTGGAGCAGGCATTGCCTTGTGGCAGGGAGAAGATTGATTGGAAACAGAACGCAGGAGTCTGTGGGTCAGGTGTTCTGCATCTTCAGCAGGGCGGTGTTTACACGGGCAGTACCTTTATCAGGCTGCACCGTTTGCATTGTAGATCTCTGTTCTATCCAACGTAAATGATATCGCATTTTTTCAAATTCTTATTATTGTTTCTATTATGCCTGTACATGTATTCATAGCTGTCTTCTTTATTCATAGCTGTCTTCTTTATACTTGTTTTTTTCTTTAAACTATTTCTTTCCTAAGTCCAAATTATCTTTTTAAAAAAATCATTTTTCCATTATTTTCTAAAGAGAAATTTTTGATTTTTTATTTTCATTTTCTTCCTCTGACTCCTTTAATCCATACCTTCTTAGTAACCTCAGGACAGTCACAACAGATAATCTTGTCTGTTGGCAATTCTGTCTCACAGCCTCTGTCTGGGCCTCAGTAGTTCTAAGACCTGTTTCTATGACACTTCTGACCCCTCTTCTATCTTTCACTATTCATTAACCTGAAACTTTAGTAAATCCTCTTCCATAATTTAGAAAGGGGAGGGGAAACCATGTTTGCATTGACATTTTACAATACATTTTATGACCAGTGATTATTTCCAAGAAGCCTAAACTATTTCCGACTCTTTTATTCTGCAGCTGGGGCATGAAGAAAGATACGAATTGCTCAATGTCCTGGAGTTCACCAGGTAAAGACACCAGCTCTGTCATTTGTGTAGGGAAAATACATTTTCATCCATTTTTTGGTTTTGCCTGTATATAGCTGGAATATATGCTTTACTTTTGTGTATTTAAGATACTAAGATCTTCCATGCAGTTTTGGTGTCCTGTCTGTAGATGTCATGCACAGGTTTCTTCACAGTGTGGCACTACATGACTTCTTGATGGCAGTTCAAAAGTCTCCCTGGAATCACAGATGCCCTTAGAACCAAGAGTCCCATGGCTGGTTTGTTACCTAGCATTCTGATATAATAGCAAATGCCTGAAATAATCAACTTCTAAAGATAAGTTCATTTTGACACATTTTGGAGGTTGTACCCCGAAATGATCAGTGAGCTTTGCTATTTTGGACCTGCAGTGGGGCAGGAACAGAGGAGAGAGTAAATTTTCACCTCATGCTTTGATGGTCCTACGACGGGGTCTTCAAAGATTGCATTGGTACTCATGAGACACTTCAAGACCTCAAAATAAGGAACCAGGAAGTGGTTTTAATGCCCCCCCTTCCCAAGTATAGCCCCAGTGACCTAAAGACCTCCCACCTTTCAATCTCCTAATAGCACCTCTCTGGGAATCAGTCCTCCCACACACAGGCTTTGGGGGGAAGATTTCAGCTCCAAACAATAGACTTGAGAGACCCCAAAACATAGATCTACTGAGAGGCAGTGAGATTATGTGGACTGAAATTAATAAGAGTTAGGAAGCCTCCGTTATAATTGTATGTTCCTTTTGTCCTCTTGTCTCTGTGAAGTGAAAGTTACCGTATCGTAGGAAGAAACAGGAAGCAGAGTGAGTGTTCCACTCAGTTCTTTCTGAAAGGGAAATAATGTCGGCTGTGCTAACTCATTTCCTCCTCACTATGGCAAGATGCCAGAAGTTGCCTGAAACAACATAAAGAAAGAGAGGTTTCTTTTGGCTCATGTTTCCAAAGGAAACAATCCATACAAGGTTCTTGGAGCTCCATCTGTGGTGGCAACTGCTTGTGTCATGTCTCATTAAATCTCCATGAGTCCAGGAGCAGAGCCAGAAGAAGGCCAAGCCATAATCCTGGAGGCCTCTCCCGCAGTAACACCTTTCAGCCTAGTAGGCCTTTATCTCCTAAAGTTTTCAGGACTCCTTAAATAGCTTGACCAAGGGACCAAGCATCACAAATAAAGCTTAGGGGGAACTTTTTATATTATGGCTAGAACAGGGGCCTTCAGTTAGACCACTTCTACTCAGACTTATACTATGCATTGTTGCCCAGCCAACCATGTTCCTCAGACAAATGGGTCTTACTGCAGGGTCTCTAAAGATTATGTGTTATCTCTCAAAGGACACTTCAAAAACTGAAAGCCGATGAGAAAGCAATGCTTTGTTTGAGCAAAAGAAATACACACCTGTTTCCTTGACCTTTCTCCTGCATAAACAAATTTGAACACTGCCTGAGAGAGACAGTTCTTTTTGTATGCTAACTCTGGTTCGGTTGCTGTCTTGATCTGGAGTGACCACATGACCAAATAACCAGGTCTGTCCAGATATTGAACACTATCCTTGACCTATATGTTCCAAACAACTCAGCAGAAGGAGTGGGAACCTGAGTTACTTAGAACAGAACACTTATGCAGACATCACTCATCCCCATCTTCATGATAAAGTGTTTTCCCAGCCCTGTTTGTGTTATAGGTGATATAAACAGCATATAAATTAGTACATAGATATGGTTTTGGACACTCTGCTTATGGAAAGTGCCATGGAGAAAAATAAATCAAAAATAGGACTTTGATCTACAGTGGGGATGGGTTTAAGAGTAGGAAAGGGAATGACTATCACGCTTTCAAATAGTTTCTGTGAAGGTTTTAGCAGTTTGGATCTGGATAACAGTGGTGAGATTGAAGAAAAGTTGATGGGCTTTTTGCTTTTTACTTCCTATTTGAGGAAGCTCAGTGGAAGTTTTCTGAGCTTGGATGGGTGGGGTGGGTACAAAGAGCAGGGAGGGAAGGGCTAGGATCCTAGCACAGACAGCTGAGTATGTAGAAATTCCGCATACATAGATGGCAGACATGGGACTAGGAGCAGATGTGGTTGGTGAAATGGAAACACTAAATTTTAGATGACTGTAAGACAGAAAGATAAAGTATCCAGGGAGAAGTTAGATATAAGAACCTGAAACATGAGGCCAAAGCCATCACTGAAATACCCATGTGTTAGTCACTGGTCTACCGATGATACCAAAAGATTCAAAGTCAAGAGGATCCTCTGAAGATTAAATATAGATCAAAGGGAAAGTGGAGGGCAGATGCCTCAGCCATAAATAATTCTGTTAAGGATTGATTACAAATTAAGAATTAGCCTGTAATTCTAGCTATTTTGGAGACAGAAGCAAGATGATCACAACTTCAGTGCTTCCCTGGACTTCAGACTAAGTTAAGGCCAGCTCCGGCCACTTCCTAAGAACCTGTCTTGAAATACAAAATGGGCTGCCACGTTTACTTCAGTGATAGGACACTGAGCTAGCAGGAGCAGCTACTGCAGGAGAGGTAGGAGGGGAAAATCAATTTAAGTCTTTATTGTTAAAGACACAGAGGATCAAAGTTGGCTGGTAAACAGCCCCAAGCTGAGCGAAATCTCCAAAAGAACAGTTAGAGAATTCAGAGATAGCTGCCAGCGCAGGTGAAGTTTGGAAAAATCAGTAGTCCCTGGGATGGTGGGAAGATGGCCGGGCGGTGAGTGGAGCCTGTGAGAGCGTCAGAGGGGCATGGGGCTCACATGAGTGGGAGTGGGCCCTTGGCTAGGTTAGGCTTTGGATAAGCGTGATCTATATTGAAGGAAAAGGGGGCAGATTCTCAGGAGAGCTGTGCCTTTAGTCTGAAGCTGCTGAGAAAGTGAGGTGGGTGAGATTAACAGTCATGTGAAAGGAAGGGCTCCGATAAAAGCAGAAATATTTCTCCCTTGTGTCAAGGAAGAAACTATGAAAGAGGAAGCACACATAGCCACCCATGGAGGCTGAAAACTGTGAGGGAGGGACTCAAGGTGAATCTCTGAAATTTAGAGTCTAGAGCAAGAATGAAGCACGGAGGACTTGGAGGGTGAAGAATGCATGCTGAGGCCTTGTAGGGTGAGGAGGGTGGCTTCACAAAGGAATGAAAGGTGTAGGAGGTCAGTGTGGAGCATCTCTCCCATTATTCATGTCTGGCTCAGAGACTTTTCTCTGCAATGGCCATTTGACGCTGATGGACCTCAAAAGAGGGTTCTCAGGTGTTTCACCAGGAGGAGTAAATTGATGAGTTGGGGACCATTAAATCAGCACTGGACTGAGAACAGCATGGATCAAGGACTGAGCTGACATGTGTAGGACAGACAAGTTTGCTCTGTCCATAGAGTACAGTTCCTCCACTACGGCTTAGGTTCCGCTTCCCCATACTCTGAAAATCCCCAATGGAAAATTCTAAAAGTAGACAATTCCTAAGTTTCAAATACCTTTTACTAAGGTATATTGTTGTAATTGTTCTTGTAGCCACTGTTGTTAACTGCTTACTGTATCTAACAAATTAAGCACTCTCATGTGTATATGTGAACAGGAAAATGTGTTATTGCGTGATACTATCCCCAGTCTTTGGCATCTGCTGGGGGTGTTGGACTTTACCCTTCTCAGTAAAAGGGGTGCTGCAGTTATTAAAAACAATAACGAATGCTTATATTGTTTCTCAAAATACTAATATTTGCTTTTATCTGCGGTTATATATTTAAATTTTTTTGTTTTTAAGTTTCTAAACATACCATATAACTCATAGATACTAGCTCAAATAATTTTCAAAAATTAACATATTAAACACAGTGCTACTCTAGTGGGTATTAACTCTTACCAGAATCTGGGGAACTGTTTGTTTTTGGTTCTTTTTTTTTTCCCCTTTAAGACAGTAAATGTAATCCTCCAAGGCACCCAGATGTACACTCGGGAGATAATTTGATTGTAGGAAAGACTATGGCTCATAATTTGGTCGGATTAATTTTTTTTTCACTGCAAGCATTAAAATATGTGAAGCACAACAAAAACATGCCTGTGCAGATCCGCAGTATGATGACCCATTATGGAAAACCTCTTTTTTTCAGCGCTAGGAAAAGAATGTCGGTGGTGGTTCGCACTCCATCGGGGAAGTTACGGCTTTACTGCAAAGGAGCTGTAAGTTTTTTTTATTTTGCCTTTTACAGTTTTGATTTATGATGGTTTATAATGTACGTGTTAGGCATCCTGCTATGGAAATGTAACACAGATGTTTAACATGAAGCTGATGACATCCACTTTTGCTGGTGTTTTATAGTAACAGCATTCAGCCTCTTCTGGTGAAATGTGGGACTCCTTCTGGGTAAAGTTTGTGCATTGAGAAAGTCTGGCACGGGGTACTTTTGTAATTCAATTTTTAATACATGATATTTGAGGTTTCTGTTATATTAGCTATGTTAGCAGATGACTAAATACAGAGAATATTTTAAATTATATTAGAATATAATCATGCACTCTAGTTTTAATCTACTTACCTAAAGGCCATAGAAATGGGGAGAGGGTTGGCTCGCAATTGTTGCTGTAATTCCTCACTTGGTATTGCTTGTTTGCCTTGCTTTAAATATTACAAGATTGCTAGTAACTGGTTATCTTCAATGTTGAGTAGATTATATTGGCAGAAATAATATCATGTATTCCAGCTGAATTTTCCTAGTTCAAACATGTTTACACTCATGGAAAAAACTCAGAGCCCCACCGGCCAGGGCCATTCTTTGCTAAGACCAGGCAGGATTCTCCTTTTGGGGTGCCCTTTCCCTGGTAAGCCCTTTGTACATTTCGGCTTGGAATTTCAGTTTTAAGCGGACTCGGTAACCGTGCTCTGTTCCGTGGAACCCGGGAGACTAAACTTAAGAAAGCCAACCCTTTTGTTTAAATTCCTCTTGAGAAAGTTAAGTGCCTTGGTTTTAAGGCATCAAAACACAATTTCTGAATGCTGCTGGTTTTAGAGCACTTTGGTCGAATCATTTCATGATGTCTCCTAAGTTTGGTTATCCAGTTTCTTTGAGTTTTGTGTTTCCATTGATTAGGACCCCAAACATGTATTCATCATGAATGTTTTATCGCCAGGCTTTGAGCTGGATTTTAGAGGTGTGATGAAAAGACCGAAGTCGTGTCAAGAGCTTAAGCCTGGCCAAGTGCATAAAAAAGATGATTAGGTTGTGGTGCTGAGTCACATGGCACAGATCTTCCATGTTCCTATGGCAACGTGATCTCCTGCTTCAATGATTGACATCTGTCTGCTTTACAACACCCAAATCACACCCTTCCTTTTTAAAAGTCTCAACAGTCTACCTCTAAACTTTCATTTGAGGTTTTACAGCATCAGACACAAAATTTAAAAACAAAAAAAAAAAAAAAAATTGCATTTTTTTTTTTTAATCACAGAGATTGTCTGCACATATCAACCTCTGGGTTGTATTGTTTCTCCCTCTGAAACAGGGTTAAGTAGTCAAAAGGCATAAATATGTAAAACAGCAAGGGACAGTTGAGAGCTGTAGTTTGTAGTTTGATGTGGAGCAGCTTCTGAACATGGACCAGGCAAAGGGTTTGTATGACTTGGGTTTGCATGCTGGGTTGAGTTTGGTTTGCCTTCATCCCTGTGCTCAAGAGCATGGACTTTCTTCCATGATATTCGGGAAGGTGATTTGAGGGCTGCGAACAGATGCAGGCAGAGGTTCCGATTGAACCTTATCAGCTCTTTCAGGCGAGGGCTGCTGGGAATGGATGGAGACAGGCACAGGGCAGACCAGGGAGGAAGATTTAGGACCTGTAATTGATGTTTGCAGGTGCTGAGGGAAAGGATTATCCAGGATCATTTGGGGATTTCTGCTTGGCTTGCTGAATGGACTAACACCACTTACCAAGATAGAGAGAGAGCTGAGAGCTACACAGGGCTATCAGGTGTGGAAGCCTGGACTTCCCAGGAAGAGAAATTGGAGTAAAATTATCTGGAAAAACGACTGTTCAGAGTACTTGCTCCTCTCCCAGAGAACATAAGCTTGGTCCCTAGCACCCACCCAGTTGCAGAGGGGCCACATCCTCTTTCGGCCTCCAGGGGCGCCTGCACCACACCGTATGTGTTCACGCAGACACACCAAAAAAGACCAGTTCTCTCCATGTTCCCTGCTTGCATATAGTTCTTTGTGTGTGGTTGGGGCCCGCACGATTTTACTCTTCAGTGTTTAGTTTTTCCTATCATTCCTAGGAGGCATTATCTCACAACAGACTTTCTTCTCCTCTGGCTCTTACTGTCTATCTTAACCACCTCTTCCATAATATTCCATGAGGCTTAGGTAGAGGTGTTGTGTTGTGAATATATGCTGGGCTGGGCTCCTCATGATCAGTTGAGTTCTGCATTCTGACCCGTTGTAGTTTTCTGCAGTGGCCTCTGTTTGCTGCAAAGAGAGGTTTCTTTAATGTGAGGTGAGAGCTGTGCTTCACTGTTTGTATAAGGGTGAGCTGAATGCAATTAGGAGCTGTGGCAGTAGTATGTCTCCTCCGAGATCCAGAACATCAGTAGTGCCAGGTAGTTGGCTAGGTTTCTAGTACCAGGCATGATTTCCCTCCTATTGAGCAGGCCTTAAGTCCAATTAGAGAAGTCAGGTACAAGCCAGCTCCCCTACTCTGAGGCCAAGACCAAAGTACTAAGCTTTCCAGTCATGCAGAGGGGCTGAGGAAGGTGCATGCCGACCCCTGCTAAGGCTGTAAAACCATGAGGTTGGCATTCATGCAAGAAACTACGGAGCAGAGGTATATGTAGAAATCTCACACCGGAGGAGCCAATGAACACCATACCCAGAGAAACATGGATTCACTCCAGATTAGACCATCTGTGGAGACGACATATACCTCAGGGTGTTTGGAATCTCAGCATGATAAATAAAGAAACTGCAGCTATTTTCATTCAAAAGTAAATTTGGGAGGGGATCTGACACACATGCAAGTTTAATTAGGTATCTTAAGCAATTTTTAAAATCAGTAAATGAAGTAAATTCTAGATTAGACACACTTTGCTAATAAAGTTAGTAAATTAGAAGACCAGTACTGAGAAGGCCATATAACATACAGTATAAAGAAATAGTGACTGGGTTGGCGTGTTATTTATATTTCCTGATTCTTAAGTGTTTCTCTAAGGAAGATAGCTTGTTCTGTTAATTTTTAAGTTTGAAAATGAAAGCATGTACAGTTTACAGTTTATATCTGCAAGAGTAGCCATGTAGAGGAAAGTGCCATTTCCTCAAATAAAACTTTAGTTTATTCGAGAAGTTTACTCTAAACCACAGCGAGACTTGAGAAACTTGACTAACATACTTGATTCTACACCAACCTTAAAGTGACTGAAAATTTCAAGGTAGGTGTCTCTTAAAATTCTGTGCTATGTCCAAGCAGACCATGTATAAAATTAGCTGCTTTTAGCAGTTCTATACCATATCAGAGGCAAAGTTTAGCTAATTCTGAATGGAGCCTATAACAGAATATATTTGCGTATGTTTAAATTTGAGCATGTCACGCGCTGGTGAGATAGTTCAGCGGATAAAGGGCTTTACCCAAAACCTTTGGACCTGAGTTTAATCCCTGGGGCCTGTGTGGTAGAAGGACAGAACCCACTCCTGTAAGTTGTTCCCTGGTCACACTCAGCTTGCACAATAATTACATCATTTCTCCCTCCCCTTTCCTCCTTCTAAAAGCTCGCGTATACCTCTCCTTGCTCTCTTTCAAATTTGTGGCCTTTTTTTTCATTAATTGTTATTATACATATATGTGCATATATATATATATACACACACACACACACACACACAGATATAACTTGTTCAGTCTATGTCACGTTACTTAAATGTATTTAGTCACTGTTCTGTTGCTGTGAAGAGACACAGTGACCAAGGCAGCTCTTAGAAATCATTTAGTTGGGGCCTTGCTTACCGTTGCAGAGGTTTAATCCGTTATCATCCTGGTGAGGAGTATGGTAGCAGCAGGCAGACACTGGAGCAGTAGCTGAAAGCTACATCCTGATCTGTAGGCAGAAGGAAAGATCAAGCCTGGGCCTACTGTGGACTTTAGAAACCTCAAAACCCGCTCCTAGTGACACACTCTCTCTCCAACAAGTCCATGCCTTCTAATCCTTCTACTCCCTTCAGAGAGTTCTACTCCCTTGTGACTAAGCATTCAAATATATGAGTCTATGGAGGCCATTCTTGTTCAAATAACTATGGTGTTTTCAGGACTGGACACTTGGTTCCTTAGATCTACCTCGGCCCTCCTCTAACAACTCCAACAACTACACACAATTTTTTTTAAATATATTTTAGATGTGGGCCAGGGAAATATCGCAATAAGTGAAATGCTTGGCATGCAGTCCATGAAGACCTAAGTTTGATCCTCAGAACCCACGTAAAAGTTAAAAATAACTAGCAAGAAATTGTAATCCTGGGAGAGGTGGAGATGGGAAGATCTTTGGGGCTTGCTAAACAAACTCCATAACCCCTTGAGAGAGGCTGTCTCACAAAAATAGGATGGAAGTTCCTGAAGAATGACTGACGGTTGGCCAGTGGCCTCTACATGCATATGCATGCATACCTAAACATACTCATGTACAAAAATATGAACTTTAGCGCAGAACACAGTAAGAGGCAGAGGTAGTACCTCATGCCTATAATCCCAATGCTTGGGAGGTAGAAACAGGAGAATCAGAGTTCAAGGTTACTCTCAGCTACATCATAAATTCAAAGCCTGCCAGCGCTACCTGAGACCCTGTCTCCAAAAAAACAAAAAGAGAAAAAGCAAGCGAAAAGCAATTTTTTGAGTGAAAGCGTGCCAAAAGGGCATAGCTGACCATGGGTTTAAGCTTTCTTGAAGCCTGGGCCCATGCCCAGTAGCAGTGATTTGGCTGCACCATGCCTTCCTTCCCCCAAGAAGGAAAAGGGTGGTTCTCCCCCTCTCCTTGACTGAAGGTGGGGGTACAAGGTAACCCAATCCCCTGAGGATTTTCCCGTAAATCTGAAGTCTGACCTTTCCTAGATTCTCTGGAGGAATTTTTTTTTCTCCTGAAACTGGGGCAGAGTCTTAATGTTGCCCTCTAAATAAAGAAGGGCTTGTGTCCCCAAAGGTGTCTCTTAAGTATTTTATCCATCACATACAAGTATGGCTAAACACTTGTGACTGTCATTTGAAAACGCTTATTTTCTGCGGAAGCCCGCACTTCCCCCTTGGTTTTCTCAATGCCACGAAGAATGTATAGACAATTAACTGACCGTCTTCTGAGTACCAGTGTGTTTACATATACTGCAGAATCTAACTGTCCTCCTCTTTTACTTACCACTTCGGTTTTTCAAGTTTTTAAGGATTTTTCCCCCTCTGAAATGGCCTCCGTTAACCTCATGGAAAATTTCATGAACTACTATGAAAAGAGAACTCCAAAGTTACTCTTTCTTTTCCCTCCTAGGAAGGAGCCATGCTCGCCAACTGTCATTTCCTTCTCTGTTTTCCTTCCCATCCCACCACTGAAAAAAAATGAAAAGAAATTCATAAATGGGGCTTACGATATTCCATGGGCTCTGAGGTCACTTGGTTGTGTTTCTCTCAAGGGCTCTAAATCATCCTCCATTAGTCAGCTTCCAAATCTCAGGCCCTAGACTGCAAACCCCACAGTGGGTACTACCACAGAGAGAGTAATTGCAGGTAAATGATTTATTTTTTCCTGGTCTAATAAAAAGTCATGAAGGCTGAAGGCTGAAGTTCTTTAAGACATTAAACCAAAGCCAGCAAATAACTGAGGGAACAATAGGCAATTTATAAAGGAGAAAAGAGCGGAGAAATGCAAATGGTGCATAAAGCAAAAACCAACTGGACTTTAAAATAGGTCAGGGGGATGGGATCAGAATATACCGTGTGAAAATAGCAAACGAACAATATTGTTTTTAATCCAGGAATTTTACAAATTGTGTCAACCAAGTCTTCAAGCTAGACACAGTCAGAGGCCTTAGCTATTTGAGGCAGCTCCCGTATTGTAGGTCCTCGTTCTGTCCCAGACATCTCAGGACATTTGGTAGTCCCAGTGATGCTTCAAGTTTGTCCCTTTGTGAGCACAGACCTTTAAAGGTGCTCCTGTCCCTGGAAGGTTGTAAAGTTGGAAAACTTTTATGTACATTGCAGCCACCCAGGCTCCCACTCAAGGGGGAACTGCCTAGACAGTCTCTTTTGGGCCAGCATTTCCCAATATTTCCTGAGCTCTAGACCATTCTCCCCTAAATACAATTCACAAAATTCTAACAACCCCCCCTCCCTCGGGGATAGTGCTCTGTCTGTTACACAGCCATCCTCCTGCCTCCACTTCACAGATGCTGACTACAAATGTAGGCCACTACATTCCCTATGTTTCCAGCCAATTCTAGATGACTTACAATTCTTACTGAAATGCAAACATTATGTGAAATTCTTTATGGAATTATCACAACAAAAGGTATGTACGTTCTTCGCAGACCCAACCTTACAGGCCAGACTATAGTTCCTTCCTGTCTGCGGTCGATTGAATTCATGGATGCAAAACCCCACAAGTCCAGCTGTATTCCTTCCTGTCTTTGGGGACTCACAGTTACTCATAGACAGATATTCTATGCTTCAAAGAAAACACTAGGAGTTTTTGTACAGACTCAGAACTAATAATGTTGCTGATCTCAGTCTTATTAAATTCAGGGTGCTTAATTAATCCACCATAACTTCTGCTTCTTTTCCAGGACACGGTAATTTATGAACGACTTGCAGAGACTTCAAAGTACAAAGAAATCACCCTAAAACACCTGGAACAGTTTGCTACAGAAGGTGAGCATTCTATGGAAATAGAACAGGATTGAAACACAAAGAAGTCATGGAGTTTTGGTATCTTGCAGGATCATTGACGTTTTTACTTCCATATTCCTCAGGTGAAGCACTGGTTCTTAATGATAGCGTAGATATTTCTATGTACTATTCCCACATGTTCTTTTTTTTTTCTTTTAAAAAAATTTATTAAAATGCTGAGAGACTTTGGCCCCATTTGAAGTAGTAAGGCCTTTAAATCTGTGTCACTTTTTAGAATGGAAATGATCTAAATGCTTTACCTTCCATCTCATGGGATTAGTTAAGAAAAATGAAAGAACTGAGCTTTTGTGATTGGGATAATAAAGAAAAAATAAATACCTGTATGATTATGTAAAAAATTATGCTATTATAACTTAACTTTTTTTAATTGAGCCCCACCCCCACATGTTGGTGTCTGTGTGAGGCCTTGGAGTACGTGGTAAAAAAAATCAGCCTCATCACTAACCTCCTGAAATACATGATGATGTATGAGGCAAACAATCCAGGGTTTAGGGAGATGTTCTGGATTAGTAGAAGTGAAAGTCATTAAACCTTCTGCTCAGTTACTTGGAGAATGGGTAGAATCTTAGCCATACACTTGATGGCAGGATTCACAGAATATCTAAATCTCCGTTTTCACTCCTGTTTCAGCTAGCCTGACCATTGCTCAAGTCCTTGTTTCCTCATAATTAACGCTCTGAAAAGATGAGAATGTTTCCTAAAAATAGGTCAAATAAATAAACAAGCAAACAATAGGCTTCTGGAAGCAAGAACATGATTTTCTCTAAATTTCCAAGAATTCAAGAGTTAAGAAACCCCCACATCCCCTGGTTCTGTGTGCCAGCATATAGGCCAGGCGGGTTTGGGGAGGAGGTCTGGACATCTGGACACCTCCACTCTGGTCACAGTATTACACAGGCTCTGGTTCGTCCTTTTCAATTGGCTTGCCCCTCCCCCACCTCTACCCCATTCTTTCTGACCTTGGGCTTCTACCTCATTGCTGCTCCCAAGTAAGTTGCCAGCCAGTTACCAAAAGAATACAGTGCCACAGATTTAAGTCTGTCACTCTGCTCCTTTCTCAGGAGACAGAACTGTCTCACAGCCAGTGAAGGGGTGCTGGGGTGAGGGAGGTAAATGGATAGCCGAGGCAGCGAGTGCCGGGAACGACATACGTCACAGGAAGTGAACGGCAAGGACTATGGTGTGAGCCATACTCCAGGTTTGGGACTTCATCCTGGGGAACAGCTGGGAGAGTTCCAACAAGAACAGCTTGCTAAGATGAGACTTTCAGAGAGGTCGCCCTAGATGTGGACAAACGGCCAAGGGGGCTGGGAATTGTAAGCAAGGTACAAAATTTAAAAGCCAGGAGGACATTCTAGACATTCGATCTTGAGGTTTTATCATGGCTGCACTGGTACCTCAGCGAGTTGTTTGAATTCAATGAGACTGCTCAAAAATGGGTTTTGTTAAACAATGGAAATGTCAGGCTCGTGACTAAATTCGCTGGGGCGGGCTGCCTTTCACAGGGCTGAGAACCTTGTGTTTTGCTGTGGCTGAGATTTCTGAGAGCGACTTTGAGGAGTGGCGGGCTGTCTACCAGCGCGCATCCACCTCAGTGCAGAACAGACTGCTGAAGCTGGAGGAGAGCTACGAGCTGATCGAAAAGGTGCGTGGACCACGGTCCCCTTCGGAAAGCGCCTTTCCACAGATGTCCTGCTTGCTCCGGCACCAGTAGTATCAAAAACAGTACATGTAACCGGTAGTGTGTGTCCAGGGGCTTGCTGAGTTCACTTCCTGGAATGGACCAGGAAAGACAGAAGGTGAACCTACACGGAAAGGTAAAGAAGCAGCCAATCTCTTCCGTTTGGGAGGAGCCTAAGGCAGAAGTTCTCTAAGAGGATGCTGGCTTGGGTATGTTATAGGGCCCCTGGGTCCTTCCTTTCCCCTGTTGGTCCTCGATGTCTTCAAGTTATCCTCACAATGCTTTCTGGAAACAAAAGGCGGCCATCCCAGGAGCCTGCTTTCTATTTTTTAAATCTACCTGTGTTCCTCTAACTCTCATTCAGCTGTTTTATCACAAGACTCACTACTGATTCTCAAGATCAATAAATTAATAAGTCATAATATGGTCCAAAAACTTGCCCAAGGGGCCCAAGGTGTTAGCAAATATAGATCCTCACTCTTTCCAGTTTTACATCATGGTCTGGCCACTCCAGCAACCTCCCTGCCAGTGTATCCCATTGCTTCTGCATCGCTGAGGTCTCGGGGCATATGCACACACAGGTAGACACTTGTGTACACAGGCACATACACGCACACACATACACATGGGGACATACACACAGAGGCAAACGCATACACATGGGCACATACACAGAGAGCAAGAGGCATATACACACACAGGCACATATCTACACAGGTACAGACATAACGTGTGTGTTTGTAATTACTATGCTTATGTAATATGATAACAGCTTTGTGGATGTGTGATAAACGGTGAGTAATAAGACGGTGGATAACCTGCTGCTTTTTCTTGCGCTCATTGTGCTGCTTTCAGTTACCGTGTTCCTTCGCCATTTCTGTCAAACGCCTTCATTTTAAGGTTAAAGAAATCGAGTCCATGCAGGCCGACGGTGAGATGTAGCCTGCGGTTGACGTTGTGTCAGCAGCGAGAACTCTCGTGTCCTTAAGCATTTGGGGTAGTCCTTACCTATACGAGCACAGGCACAGTGGCGCGTCCTTTGGAAGAACTAATGGTCCCCACTTACAGACGAGGAAGTCCAGGTGTCAGAGAGGATGAGAACCTGGACCAAGGTCACCGAGCTCACGAGAGGGTTAGCCAGACCCCAGGGCTCTGCTGTGTTGAGGGCCTTCACACTAGCTTGAACTTGCCACTCAGCCTCTGCCCAGTTGCCTGATTCTTTCAGTGTCTTCTCTGGGCTGCAGCGTAAGATCAACTTCACTCAGTCGAGCCTGTGGGTGGGTAAGGCTGACTGCCTTTTCCTCCCTGCTATGACACTGAGTACTTGCTGAGTTAGAAAGCACCTAGCACTAAGACCTGTCAGGACTAGCTCTTCCTCACCCCACACCCATCCCACTCCACTCCCCAAACCCTCCCATCTATGTAATACTAGGAGACAACTTATTCCAGCTGCCGGTAGTTTTTCTCTGACATGTGTAGAGGCCACATATAACTCGAGGTATTCTTCTGTCTCCACAAAACACTGTAATGACTTTAAGAACGGAGGTTTGTTTCTTACAGAATTGAAGGAATGTTATATGTCCCCTGTACTTAACATATTATTTATCTCGAGGATAGACAGCTATGATTAAAAACTTCCAAGTTTTAAGTGGGAGGCACATTGAACATTTGTCCAGCAGGTGGCGATCATGAGTTAAATTAAAATTTAAGTTTCCTGGGGGCTGCCTTTTTTTTTTTTTTTTCACCCTTAAGTAGTATACGAATAAATAGTATAGAAATCCAGAAACCTTCTTAAGACTGTCTCTTAAAGGAACGAAAAGGGAATTTGGTGCTAACTGGTATTACCATTTGTGATAAGCTCCATGAGACAGAGTCTCTTCCTCGGCCCGCCTGTTTCAAGCAAGGAGAGCGATTTGTATGCTCTCCTCCTCCCAACATAGGGGTCTCCCTGGGGCGTTCATTTAATTAACATTCACTGAGTGATCAAGGTGTACCGGATCACAGGGTTGCTAGGCTAATGAAGCTGACTCCCTGGGGCCTCAACACACCACCACAGTCTGCACAGATTTCCTCGGTGAGGAACTCGGGAGACCCGCACTCTCGGTCTGAAGGAAGCTTTTGAAATAGCTCTGCAGAGATCATTTTGCCAATGCCTCTGCCAGCCTTGGAGGACTGCAGGCTTGTGATATGTGTGAGCCTGAGCAGGGTGGCCTGCTCCTGGTCTGGGCTTCCCCTCAGCTGTTTTGACATCCAGAAGCTGTGGCTACTGCCCTTGCCAACAGCCTACCTAGTGAGACAGTTTCAACAAGAGAGACCACCAGTTCCTTAAGTGCTTCGCTTGGCTTTAAGTTTAGCTGTCACAGCCTTGCCTCCTCTGACTGAAACACACTGATCGTGCAATCTGTTCTGTATGTGTTTGGAATCCGAGGGACAGTTAATTTCTAAATTCTGAGACTGATTTTTGCTTCTCTTTTTATTTTTTTAGAGAAGAGTCCATCTTCCAAACAAAACATTGGCTAAATCATAAGATACACAAGTGATGAAAGTCAATCTGCTCCAGTTAGCATGAAGGGTAGAGAGAAGGCCCTGTGGAACTCCCCTCCGCCTCCACTTTGCCTCATGGTGGTCCATGAGGAACTCACAGGACTTGGGGCTCCACTGTAAACTGTATCATGTTACATCTGTGTGTGGATGTCTTAGAAATGGGCTTTTTTAAAAGATCAGAGCATCCTTGTCGTGCAACATGCTTCCGAGCTTATTCGGATTAGTGATACAAGATGCTATGGCCACAGCAATCACGTTACACTGAAAACATTGTAAGTTGGAAAGATTTGGAGAGCTTCTCCTAAAAAAAAAAAAACATGACGGAGTAAGTGAAATTTTTACAGCATCATTAAAGTTGTGGTTATAAACGCTACAAACGCTCATATCCCTCCACTATTTGTCCAAACTAGTGACTTGGTTTTTAAATTTGAATTAAAGCTCTCTTCCTTCGGGAGTTGTAATTCCTACATAAGCTTGAAAATATGTGGCCAGGCGTGGTGGCACATACCTTTAATCCCAGCACTCAGGAGGCAGAGGCAGGGGATCACTATGAGTTTGAGGCCAGCCTGGTCCACATAGATAGTTCCAGGCCAGCCAATGCTACATGGTGACACCTTTCTCAAAAGGATGGATGGATGGATCCATCCAAATAGGCCACATCCAGGAGAATGCTGCCATTCTTTCTTTGCTGTTCCTTTTCTTCCAGGACATCTGTGTTCTAGAAGGCATTGGTTTTGCCTTCCAGGGCCACGCTGCAGAGACCAGAACATGGGAGGCTTAAAATGCCCCACATGCTGTCCTCTCTGTGGACAGCTATTGTCAGAGAAGGTTTGGGGTTTTAGCATCTACCTATAAAATAAATATATCCATGACTGTTCAAAAGCAGTGCTGTCAATCCTATCATAGACTCCTCAGAGTAATAAAAAAAAAATCTAATACCGTGAGCTGTTTCAAGAATTGATTACTGGTACTTTGTTATGGAGTATAAGATAAAAGGCAACACTTATTACTGGGAAAGGCAAGTGAGAAAGTGGGAAGGATTAGGACGTGGGGGGGGGGCTGGAGCCTTGACAGGTCCTCCCACTGTCTTGACCCACTTTGTGAACTACAACGCCTCCTCTTCTCTCTTCATCACCACCTGAGAGAATTTATAGTTGTCTCATTTTGCAGACAGCAAACTTGACCTGTTTTGTTCTCCTTCACCTCCTGCTGGAGGACTGGCACTATATTCAGACTCAGCATTTCACCTTACGAAACCACTTCAGGTGTGCTCTCTATTTTAAAAAAATCAGATTATTTTTAAGACAAACTTAACTTATTTGGTCCATTTACTTATACATGGTCAGAAAGAATTATGAGTAACAATAATTAGCAGGTTTTGACGTCCCAGTAGTGGTTGCCTCTGTGAAGTTTCTCACCTGCTTACTGTACTCCGTCCCTTTACTTTTATTCTAACATTTCTAAGGCACGTAAATTACGTTTGCCTTTTCCTCATATGATGCTCCTATATTCTTTTGAAATTAACAGAACTCAGGATTCTTCATATAATGAAATCATCAGTTGAAATATGATTGTGTGTTTTCATAGAAGATACAGGGCTGGGTTCTTTGTCTCAGTGGGATAAAAATTACAACTTTAGCCTTGCTACTAGACACCTACCCATGGTGTCTGTGTTTGCAAATTCATGTCATAGAAGGGTTAGAGAAAGCCATGCGAGACACACTGAGCACTGATAAGCACGGTATTTTGCTGGTGATAAAAGTTTTCTCTTTTGTTTCAAGTTCTGGGTTGGGAAATATGTTTTACAAAGTGAGCTTTTTCTTTTTTTTTTTTTTTAATCTGTCACATTTTAAAAAATATATTATGAGCCGGAAGATCCTTTATGAGCAGGGGAGTGAAATCCAAATGCTGTAATTTTGATAGCATCTCGCCCCTCTCTGCATTTTGTGGATTCATGTAAATCATGACTGAAGCTTCATGCAAGCGGTGACCGTAATTATCATATCCATCACTCTGTCCCCAGTGTTTGACTGTCTGGCCTGTGTTAATCACTCCGTAAATATTTGATGAATAAATGAATTATTCAATTAAGTGAATTATTCAGAAACTAGAGCCTAGTAAGAGTTTTACTGATGAAAGCCTGTCCCTTGTTCTAATTTGGGGCATCCCTGTCCAAGTACTGAAGACCTGGGTATCAAAGGTGACGCCACTAAGGGTCAACCTAAGAATATGTTAGAGAAGGCGCAGGTAATTTTTATGTCATTCAATTTTTTTTTTTTTTTTTTAGAAATATAGGCCCATTTGTTTTTGGGTTTTTTTTTTGTTTTGTTTTGTTTTGTTTTGTTTTAATGCTCTTCCATGTTTCTTGTATATAAATGTGAGAAGATGGCTGAAAAAAACTCAACAACAAATATATGGTC